ACCCACAACCCTAAACCCAAAACCCTTAACCCTAAACCCTAAACCCAACCCCTATAGTATCCCTATAGGTCAAGAGATCAGGTACGCAAGGAGCGGGACCGACTCGTTGAGCACAAGTTTGCAGAGAACATGGCAAACCACGTGTCGCCTGGCCTGCATCCGCTTGCGAAGTCCACTGCGGCTGCGGTTGCTTGGGGGGGTCGTTTTTTGGGGGTTAGGGGTTAGGGTTAAGGGTTTAGGGTTTAGGGGTTTAGGGTTTAGGGGTTTAGGGGTTTAGGGTTTAGGGTTTAGGGTTTCTTGCGAGGCTGGAGCAAGCAGAGCTAGAGCACAAGCTGGTCATTGAGAAGGACTTCCTGGCTGTGTTTTGAACGGAGAAGTCTTCCTGGAGCCTTGCCGTCAGGACAAGCAGCGGCAGCGAGTGAAGAGCATCAATCAGCAGCAGAGCCTGGGTGGCACTGCATGGCACAGTATGACGCCCTGAACGTCATAAACATATCATTTCCCCATTTATCTCAATGCCCAGGATCGCGATGAAAGAAGCGCAGAGAGACGAAGCAATGCAGGAGCCAGGGCGACGCCAGTCCGAAGCTCTGAGACCCCTCCAACTTGACAGCGAGGGCAAGGCTTCCGTGTTTTTTTTTGTGTCGGTACGGTTGAGGTTGGGCTGTGGGCTTAAACCCTAAACCCTAAACCCTAATTAAACCCTAAACCCTAAACCCTAAACCCTAAACCCTAAGCCCTTAAACGAAGACAGTAGAGCTTGGAGCCTCAAGGTTCGGGGGGGCCGTCCCTGGCTTTAGGGTTTCAGCGTTTTAGGGTTTCATGGCCGAGTTTTTTGTTTGGGTAGCTCGGAAGGTCTCCAGACTTGGCGATGGAAGGCAGGCGAACAATGCTGAACTGGTTTTCGCCCTGCGCAGGTTTGCAGTTCCTTTTTTGGTTTCCATCTTTGCCGATCCTTTCTCTGATCCCTTGTCTTTCCATTTTGGCCCTAGAACCAGCTTTAAGCCCCGCGATGTCCTGAGCCCCTAAGCCCAAGCCCCCGTATCCATTGCCAAGGAAAATCGGAAGCCCAAAATCCCAAAACCCTCGAGCAAAACACTTAAAAAAGCAAATTCGTCTGCCTGGAGGAGTACCAGCGAGAGCGCGCAGAGGTGGACAACTTGGTCGCGCAGATCATCGACGAGAACGAAAGGGAGCGGAAGGCCTAGTCGCGTGTTTGAATCCCTGGCCGAGAAATTTTGAGAAGACGTCAGCTGGCCGAGTTACTTCAAGATGTTTCGGGTTTACGGTGCAACGGATCTCCAGAGTCCTTCCCACCGGCTCTCCGTAGGCGAAGGAAGAAAAGCAGGCAGAATCACGCCAGCTGCATCCACCTCGGACCACCCACCAGGAGAGAGGTATTAAAGCCCGAGCACGAGCCGAGGTTGCAGAACTTCCTCGTGGAGCAGCAGCAAAGACAGATACAAAAGCTTGCAGAGGACCAGTGATGCATGATGATGCTCATGGCTTCCTGCTACCGGTAGTAACATAAGATGGATGATGATGGGATTGCTCCGCCTTCTGAAAGCTTTCTGGGAGGAGCAGGAGGAGAACGAGCGCATTGAGGCCTATGCGCGGATGAAGCGTCAGCAAGAGGAGAAGCTCGCGGCAGAAAAGGACTGTCTGCCAGGGCCGTCCACAAATGCGTCTCTGACATGGCCGCATTTGTGCGATAGCACGTCCCACGTAGCCGCAGGAAGAGCGTGAGTTGGAAAAGAAGCGGCTCATGAACAAGATGGTTGGGCAAATGGAGGCGATTTGGGTTTGGGGTTGGAGATTTTAGCTTGCGGGGTTCAGGCTGCTGTGGCACGGAACGCATGTTGGGTTGCCTCGGTTGAGAATGCAGGCCAAGAGCAAAGAGAAGGAGATGCCAAAGCCTCGGAGAGGTGAATCTCCCTCTCCCTTTCCATCTCCCGCTTCTGTCTTTTGTTTTAGTTTTTTTTTTGCTCTCTCTCTTCTCTCTGTTTTGCCTTTCTCTCTCGGCTACCCCCAGGAGCCCCACGTGTCTCTGGCTCGCTTGCCTCTCTCCCGCATTTCGTCTGCCTCTGACTCGTTCTTGCTCCCAAGCGGACGAAGAAGACAGACATTTGTGCTTGGGTGACTGCATCTGTCGGTCTGCCCTTTTCCTTGGCCTGCCTGTCATGTGTGAGTGTCAAACAGCCCTATGACCCCCCAGGTACCTACTATATAGGGTACTAGAGCCCTTAGGGCCCTATATAGTAGGTACCTGCAGGATCAGGGCAGTAGATGACAGAACACGAGCAGCGAGCATGCGGTTGCCATCGTTGCAGCGGATCTGCATTCCCAGCCATTGGCATCAACCGCACGTGTTTTCATTGGCCGTAACTTGTTATTGCCTACGGGTCCAGTGACCCTAAACCGTCCTGGCTATTGAAACCATTGCTGTTTATGTTACGCTCATGTCACATATCATCATTATCATTACAGCCGCTATCTTCAGAGTAATGATTAAAATTAGAACCATGATCACTCTTTGTCTTACGATTACGTAAAACCCTAAAGCCCAAACCCTCATTGCTCTATATCGAGGCTCGAGTATCTCTGCAACGAGCTCCACTTCGAGGAGATCGAAGCCAAGAGCCGGCGCCAGGAGGAGCGGCTTCCTGGGAGAGTCGATAGCAAACCCTGTCACGTTTAGGGTTTAGGGATATAAGAGTTGTCTCTGTGTGTGTATGTATCTATGCATGTATATATATATATATATATATAATATATATATAATATAATATATATATATATAATATATATATATATATATCCACCGTATCTTACATGGCACAAGCAGTATATGACGGTAAGACGAAGAGCGCCTCTTTCAGGGCAATGGGTATTTATTGGGAGAGCGTTGAGGGTTTAGGTTTGGAGGTCGAAGGTTTTGGGATTCAGGGGTTTAAGGTGTTGGTGTTAAGCTTCAGGTTTCCCCCCGTTGGGGTCCCGAGGGTTAGGCGCCTCTCATTCTGAAGACGAGGCTCTTCAGGTGTTCCTGAAAGGGCCGGAGCCGTAATGTAAGACCCAAGCCCCAAAAGCCCCAAGGCTCCTAAAACACTGACTAAAGCCCTCAAGCCCCAACATCCCCAACCCTAAACCCTAAACCCTAAACCCAAAACCTTAAAACCACTCGGCAGGAGCAGCGCGCGCGGAAGATCTTGGAGGATAAGGAAGAGCTGAAGATGGCTTGCGAGGTGCAACAGAGGCGGGCTCCGAACTGAACCCAACAGCGCTTGATACACGAGACACAAGACATAGCTCATCAGCTATGGATATCTTATCATATCATGATATATCATGTCATATCATATGTTCTCATCTGATCTCATTTCGTCTATGTCATCCCGTCTCATGTTATTCCATGGCATGTTGTCAAGCGTATATCTACGTATGTATGTATAAATAAATGTATGTATGTATGTATGTATGTATGTATGTATGTATGTATGTATGTATGATATATGTATATACAACTATATATATGTATATATATATATATATGTATATATGTATATATTTATATATACATATATATATATATATATTCATATATACATATATATATATATATATGTGTGTGTGTGTATATTCATATATTCATATATTCACCACATACCCTTCCCCTGTGTTTATTGAAGACAGTGAGTTGGATTTCCTTCAGGGCCAAAGATGAGAAGCTGGCACAGGCTCGCGCGGAGGAGGCTCGGCGGGGGGTTGCTGCAGAGACTTGGGAGAGTCCTACGGTTCGGACCTTCTGAGGGTCTGTACAATGGGGTTTAGGGTTTCGGGTTTAGGGTTTCGGGTTTAGGGTTTCGGGTTTACTGTGGGGTTTAGGGGGGATTTCTCGTCTTTCTTTTACTGTGGCCGTGCTTGTTCGGTTGGATCTGCCCTCAGGAGAAGCTCCGGGCAGAGATGATGCAGAAGTTTGCAGAGGACGGTTGATAGATGCTCTCGCTGGATCCAGGGTTTATGTGAGAGTGCCGTTAGAGGAACTCTTATAGTGTAGTGCTCTTCTGTTACCTCTATACTACCCTTATAGTACCCCTAGAGTAGCCTCTATCATATCCTCATAGCACCCTAAATATTACCCTTGTAGTATCCCGAAGTGTGAAGTCTCGAGGACGACAGGCTCGAGCAGCTCAACGATCACAAGAGGCCGCAGATCTGGCTTTCTTCAGCCCCAAAACTCTGAAGCCCCAAGACAGCGATAAGCCGTAAAGCCTTAGGCCCTAGACCCTGACAGCCTTAAAACCCCCGATCCTAAGCCCGCGAAGCCCCACAAGCCCCAAAGAACCCCAAACTCACGAAACCCAAGCGAATTGAACTCAAACGCCCTTTGGCCCTTTTCCCGGAGGCGCTTGAAGCTGGAGGCGCACAAGAGGGAGACCGACAGGTTGCTACAGATCCGGCGCGAGACCTATGAGATGGCCCGGCAACAGGCACCGAAAGAGCAGACGACTAGGGTTTCGGGTTTAGGGTTTCGGGTTTAGGGTTTCGGGTTTAGGGTTACAGTTTCGGGTTTAGGGATCCTCTGTTTGGGCGGGGTGGGGGGCCTCCTCTTCAGGATATCCAGAAATTTCCGCTTGTTGCTACATTTCATTGCTATTACAACACTTGGCAGTATTTTTAGTATTCTTATTCCTGTTCGCATTGGTATTTTTTGAAAAAAATCTCATTCTTGGTAGTATTCTTATTCTTCATGTAGCATTGTTGTTGTTATTGTTAAGCGTCGTTTTTTTTTTAAATTGTTGTTGTTAGCCTTACTGTGATTATGCATGCGATTATCGGTTATTCCTGTCTGCATTCGTATTTCTTCGGATACTATTACTTTGCTCTCTCTTTGCAATAAGTCTTGGTAGTACTGCGACGTTGATCGTGACCACGCCTTAGACTATGGCTATGACTATGACCATGACTATGACTCATGACTATGATACTTATTGCCCTTACTTGTGTTTGAACTATCTTCATTATTGCAATTCCTGACGTTACTGTGGGGTGTGTATATCCGGGCCCCCGATTTTGCGAGACTCCCCAGGGAATTCCTCTGTACTTCCTGCAGGAGCGTGAGGAGATGGAGGCTTTGAAGAAGGATGAGCATCAGCGGGAGGCAGTGGGGGAGGTACATGGCTGGGGTGAGCTTAGAGACTTAGAGACTTCAGTGACAGGCGGTGATCCGAGCAGAGCGCAAACGGATCATCGAGGCCTGTTGCCTGAAATGCGCCTCTGCGTGCGATGCTGAGTAGTCGCGGCATCGTGAGGAACATGCAAGAGAGCTCCGCAATTTCCTTCCGCCGGGCACTCTTCAGAGTGCCGAGGACATCTCTGCACAGTTCTGACAGTGTCACCGTGAAGTTCGAAGATCCGCGTGCTGCAGGATCTGAAGTTGGTGTACGGCAGCGACCGGGCAGTTGAAATGGCCTTCTGAGAGGACTGAGACCGCCGTGAAGTGCTACCATAAAATTACAAGAACTGGTCACGATTTGATGTGGATACTCCTAGTGGTTTGTCTGCTTTGAAAGATGTGCACCGAGCCTTTTGGTCCACGAGATTTGAAGCATCATGCTCAACTTGAGACTGACAGTGTGCAGGGACGTGTAGGAAAGCGACCCAAATAACAGAGCCCCTGTGAAGGAGATTCAGATGAACGAAACTCCAAACGAGGTGCAGTACCCCCTATGATTCCAAGAAGCGCCACATCGTCCATGAAGAATCTGGACAGGAGCGATGCCTGCACGAGACTCGGCGCCATGTCTCACCAGAATCAGCTTTGTGAAGCCCGGTCTCTCTGAGTGCCCACGCCAGCTGCAGATGCGTAGGAGCTACCTGTAGTTGGCGAGGGGGTGCTGCCGTTGCGAAGCCATGATGTGAGTGCTGCGAAATCTCGAAGAGATTCACAGCCGACGTCGCCAGGGTGTAAGTAGGGTCTTTCAGGTTGCTAGTTTAGGCTTATGACAGCCCGAGTCAGTGCTGTGGTTTGGAGCATGGACGCAGTTTATGATCTCGAGCTCCCGCAAGGGACATCTTCGCAAGACTTCCCCCGAGGGGAAGAGATCGCAATTGCATGGCCTCATTGAAAAGGGTAAAGCATCCGAGCCGAGTCCACCTTTGTCATGGTCTTCATCTCGAGAGCTGAAAGCACCAAGGATGTGTTTAGTGC